CTGTTCATCTCTGGCAAGGGCACAAGTGTCTGAGAAACTAAATAAAGAATAGTATCTTGAGCACATACATACATTCTTAAAATCACCCATTGTTCAGATTTTATCCCCATTGTTTTATTCTTTTTTCTCTTTCTCTGTGAACACAAATATATATTTTTACTGAATCATTTGAGAGACACTTGCTGACATTCTGAAACTTGAACTCTGAATACTTAAGCATCACCTAAAAACAAGGATGTTTCTCTACATAACTCTAATACAATGATCATGCTGAAGAAATTTAACATGAAGATAGTGCTGTTTTCAAATACAACAAATTTCCTCAAATATTTCAGTAGTGTACTGTTCATAGTTGTTTATTTTCTTAATCACGAATCACACAATGAATTCTATCTTCATGCCTCCTTATTCTCCTTTAGTTTCCAGACTTTTTCTTTTTCAGTATTTCATAATATTACCACTTTAAAAGACTCCAGGTTGGTTGTTTTTCCAAATGTGGGTTTTCTGATTATTGACTAATGATTAGATTTAGTTTGTTTTTAGGTTTCTGCCATAGGGTACATGTACTCGTCAGAGAGAGGCAGAGAGAGGGAAAGTGAGAAATCACCCCCCAAGGGGGATGACCATGCTGCAATCTCTTCTCATTTCTTCTCTTGGGATTTTGCATGCATGCATGCATGCATACACATGTGTCCGGTATGATTTTCAAGCCACTGGATCTTGGACTTTAACCATGGTCGGCCATGTGAGAATCCACCTTAATCACCACACCATCTGCTGGCCCCTAGATTCAGTTTAAACAGTTTTGGCAATAATACCACCAAGGGGTTGTATCATTCTTAGTGAATCTCTCTGGAGGTACATGTCAGAATGTCCCCAGCATGGGTGATCTTCAGCCAGACCACTTAGTTAAGCAAGTTTCTGCTAGATTTATAAATTGTCAAGTAATCAGTGAGATGATGTATGTGAATATATCTGTTTTAGTAACATTCTTTCACCCAGTGTTTTTAACAATCATTGAATTTTCTTGCTATGAATTTTCTTAGCAAAGCAAGACAATTCAATGGTTGATTAGTTTCATAAAAACACAATTAGGAAACCTGGAAAGATTTCTTTGGAATTTCTTATTGTCACTCTTATCTCTTCTTATGTTAAACTATTTTCATTCATTTATTCATTTAGCAAATGTTTACAGAGTGCTCATTTTGTTTTATTTAAAACAATTTTTTTGAGAGTTTTTTGCTATAGGGTGCATGTACTCTCCAGAAAGACAGAGAGAGACAGAGAGACAGGAAGTGAAAAATCACTGGTCTGGGTCTCGAACCATGGTCGGCTACATGAGAGTGCAGCGATATAGCCATTATTGCCACCTGCTTGTCCCTTTTTAAAATTTTTTTATTTCAAGTTATTTTATACATTCAATCACATTGTTTAGCTTGCAAAGGGAATATTCCAACATGTGTACATTTCTCCCCTGCCCAGTTGATAATACTATAAAGTTATCTTCAACAGATAATACCCCATTTCTTGGTTCCATTAATGCTATGCCTCTCTATTTTTCTCCTTAATGTCCTTCCTAAGAAGGAGTAGAATCAGAGTGCTCGTTTTGTGCCTCGTCTTTTCGTTAAGGGTGTAAGAGTGGCCCAACCTAATGTCTTTAGTTTAATCTTGTCTTATGCTCTAGATCCCTATAGGCAACTATTTTTAGGTCTCTTTACATTAACATCCATGAATACCATAAACTCAACATGCTCAAATGGAAATTCTCCTCCTCATTTCCTAACCTGGTCTTCCTATGTTCTTTAGTAGATTGTGCCTTTATCTTCTCAGTGATCCTGTAATAAAGAAGGTCTCTCATTTATTTAGTGGCCGGCCATCATGCTAGGCCTTGTACATTCTTGCCTCAGTGTTAGGAAGTAGATAATATCGTCCAGTGAACACTGGGCTCCCAGCTCCAGATCAACGTCTAGCAAGACTTTATACTGGGATTCGAATCTTGTTCTCCTTGGCTTCATAATCTCTGCCTTAGTGTAGAGTATCGCTAGTTTGAAATCCTGGCCCTACCGCATACAATGGGGAATTAAATAAGTCAACTTAACTCTGAATGTCTTGGTTTCCTTAATTATAAAATGGGAAAAATAACAACCCTAGTCTTGTAGATTTGAATAAGACAAAACTTGATAAACATTTGATCAATTCCTGTCAGCACCATAGTATCTTCAACCCATGAATCTGGTGTCACCCTAAAACTCTCCCTATACTCACCGATTGTGAATAGTTTCTTAGCTGTCTTCACAGGTGTCATTTCCTTAATTTAGACCAGTTGTGGGCAAAAATGCTTCCCCCGCCCCAGTCTAGAACCAGTTTCCACCCATTTTCGTTAATAAAGTTTTATTGAATGCAACCCATTTATTTACATATTATGTAAAATATACATACATAACTATGTATGTTACGGCCTCATTCACCCTAAAGTGGCAGAATTGAGTAGTGGCAACTATACTTTACAAATCATATATATATATTTTTCTTTTTTTTGGAGAGGTTTTCGCTATAGGGTGCATGCGCTCGCCAGAAAGACAGAGAGAGACAGAGAGACAGAAAGCGAGAAATCACCCCCCAGGGGGAATGGCCACGCCGCAATCCTTTCTCCTCCATTCTCCTCTCGGGATCTTGGGCATGCGTGCACACACACCTGGCATGAGTTTAAGCCATCGGGTCTAGTACCTGAACTGTGGTCAACTACATGGGAGTCCAGTGACATAGCCATTACGCTAACTGCTGGTATCACAAATCATATTTTTACTATCTGGCCCTTCACAGAAAAGTTTTCCAACTCCTTGTGCCTATTTGTAATGACCTTCTTCCTGGATTCTCTTGCTCTATCTATCCCTCCTTGAACTCAGTCATGCCAGTTTCCTTCTTACACTTCACTGGCTCTCACTGCAAAGAGCATCAGCTTCTATCTACTCCTGATCCTGATGTAAGCCTTCTCTTTGACTATAAGGAGCTCTTCATACCCTTTTCAACCTTGACACATGCTGTTCTTAATTCTTTCTCTTTTTTTTTTTTGAGAGGTTTTTGCTATAGGGTGTGTATGCTCACCAGAAAGAAAGAGAGAGACAGAGAGACAGAAAGCGAGAAATCACCTCCCAGGGGGGATGGCCATGCCACAATCCCTTCTTCTCCATTCTCCTCTCGGAATCTTGGGCACACATGCACATGTGCCCGGTGTGAGTTTAAGCCACCAGGTCTGGGACTTGAACTACAGTTGGCTACATGGGAGTCCAGCAACATAGCCATTACACTAACTGCTGGTCCTGACACATGCTGTTCTTTTGTCTGAATAACCACCCCTTGATATTAAGCTCAGGTTTTCTTACCTCTAAGAAACCCTTTCCACTGGCTCAACCAATGACTTCTGTTCCTTTATAGCTTGCAAATACTTCAATTCCAGTATTTATCTCACTCTATCATGACCCTGGGCTTAGTTGTCTGTATCTGCAACTGTGATGGGTTCCTCTAAAGGGTGAGAATGTCCATTTCTCACTGTTTAAAATTCTCTTCTGCCAGTCTGGGACCTGGCTCTCAGAAAGTACCCGTTAGGTAGTTGTTACTGGTTGACATTGAGCTAGGGTTTGAAGACTCTTATAAAGTTATAGGAGAGACTAGAAAGGAGGCATATCAAGAGAGGCTTCCTCAAGGAGGTGACAGCTTAACTAAGCCCTGGAAGATGATAAGAAGGATAAAATAAGAAACTGTAGAAAAAAAGACTGTAGGCACAGACTGTATTAGAGAAATGACAAGCAAAGGCAGGAGCCATGCTGAGGAAGTGTTGGAAGATAGGCTAAACTAGGAGGTGTTAGGCCCACATTCTGTGGTCACCTCTGCAGTGCTGAGCTGCACGAACAACGGGAAACCACAGAAAGACTGCAGTAGGCAAACGGCATGTCCATCTTGCATGTCAGTCTTCTAGAAGTCCCTTAAGGCATCAACTGTGTTTTTGTCTTGTCATTGTTCAATTCAAAGTGCGCATAATCCCTGGCACATTATAGGTTCTCAGTAAATGTTTCTTTCATCATTAAAATGTATGAGCTATGAAACTTCCCAGATTTAGGAAAGATTCTCAATGTTTAATATTCTTTTGTTAGGTGAACATTTGTCCCATCAAAACCTTTACAGATTTAAGAACTCTGGTCATATTTAACCTTAGTGTTGAATTTTATTTCTTCTTGAGAAATTTATATTCGGAAACAAAAGTCTATTCTTTTACAGAAATTCTAAATCTCTTGGATTTTAAGAACATCTGATGTATTCCTAATCTGCAATGCCTGAGGCAGTTTTTACTGGCACTTGTTCAGTTTATTTCTTGTAATTTTGGTATTTTTCTCTCAACAAAGTGCTAAATACTAAATTAGGAGACAAAAATTCTTGTTTGTAAAGCATGCCAATGGACTCTTGAAGGATGATGCCTCACAGACAGAATGTAGTGTTTTTATTAATGATGCCCACAGACTAATTGAGTCATTAGCTTAAGAGTTCAGAGTCTCAGAAGTTTGGAGGATGCCAATAAAGTTATTTGAATGATAAAACAAAGCCCAGATTATTGGGTAAAATTGGGGGGACCCCTGCACTCCAAGAAATTCTCCAAGTCTCCACTTAGTTATCCAGATCCTCAAAGTGAACGTGAAGCTTCAGTTTCAAATTGAGTACATTTTCCATCCATGGATTGGCTTGTTTTGTTCAGTTTTACTTTGAGTGTTTGAGGTTGTCTTTTCGACGTAACAGCTAAACCCACGACTTCCTTTCTCGTAAAACCAAAACAAAAAGGCTTTCTATTCAAGTGCCTTCTGTGTGTGCACATGTGTAGTACATACCTGGGATCAAAGCTGTCTATATAAAGTCCTTGATTCTGTGTGGGTTCAAACATTTCAAAGCTTCAGGATCCTGAAAGGTTTCACTCAGCTTCCTGAAGACCTGAACATTGCTCCCATAAAGCCATGGCTTGCCTTAGATTCCAGAAGCACAAGGCTCAGCGGGACCTGGCTTCCAGGACATGGCCCTGCACTGCCCTGTTCTCTTTTCTCTTCATCCCTGTCTTTTCCAAAGGTGAGTAAAATTGTTGGAGTGTGAATGTGGAGGAGGTGTTTCTCCCACCTGGTTTCATTCCTTTCAGTAGTCAAGGGAAGTGATTTATAGCAAAGCCAGACATTAAAGATCAAACGCCAATCTCCAGGCTCTAATGGCTCTGTATTCCAAGACTAGCAGGGGACAGCTGTCAGCAGTAAATAAACAGAGATATCGCTCATAGCACAGTGCCAGGTATTTATCAGGGGGCTGGCGAATACCTGCAAATTGGTTTGGGAAACACGGGTAATTTCAGACACTTTTATAAGATTGGAAGGAAATATTATAAAGCTAGGTGAATTAAGAGGAAAAAGATACACACAGTGCTGAATACATTTGAGCTTGTTATCAGGATGAATTCAAGATATTCCTTTACAAAAAATATTGCTTTAAGACAAATCATGGGGTAAAGTTTTCTTCCTATATAATTCAAGCTTTTAAGGTCCTCTAATTAATTAGTTTTATAAACTAATTAGCAAGTTTAAAATTTAAGTAAATTGTGAGAAGACACCTTCTGAGTTCGATTCAAGGTTTTAAGGTATCTTTTTTCTTCTTCTTTTTTTGGAGAGTTTTTTTGCTATAGGGTGCATGCACTCGCCAGAAAGACAGAGAGAGACAGAGAGAGACAGAGAGACAGAAAGTGAGAAATCACCCCCCAGGGGGATAGCCACGCCACAATCCCTTCTCCTCCATTCTCCTCTCGGGATCTTGGGCACACACGCACACGTGCCTGGCGTGAGTTTAAGCTGCCAGGTCCGGGACTCGAACTGTGGTTGACTACATCGGAGTCCAGCGACAACCATTACGCTAACTGCTGGTCCATTAAGGTCTCTTTAATCCAGTTTGTAAGCTTGTTTAAAATGAAATATTTCGAAGTTGCAAAACAAAGTATAACAAAGAAATAGAGGAAGAAAGAAAATGAGCCATCAGTCTGTTTGTCATAAAATACGCAATTCCTGCCTTACCTACATGTGAATTTCTAATGCAGATCCCCAGTTTTCAGATAAAATAAAGGTCTTTAGAGCTTAATACTATGGTTTAATATGTTTACATGGCTCTTTAGAGCTTGACAGCAAGGTTCATCACAAGGGTTAAAATGATGAAAATTTCCATTGGATCTCAGTCTTGTCCCTTCTAGACCTTCCTGGTTAATGAACTATACTGTTTGTATGAAGTAGGTGCTCAAAAGATATCTGATAATTTAATTTTTACTGGAAGAATATTCATGCACATTTTCTTTCTTAAGTGTTTTGAATATGTAAAGATTAAATACTCTTAGGGATATTTAAATATTCTTTTTAAGAAATTTGTCATGGTAGATACCAAAAGATTGAGTGTGGCAAAACTTAGTAATGATAAGTATGAGCTCACCTAGAAGGAGGGCAGGAAATTTGTTCTTCCTTAGGCTTAGAGTCAACACAATAAAGATTATTAAGTGTCATTTGGGCCATATATGACTATTTCTAGGAGTTTATGAACCAGAGACAGAAGATGGGGGAGATATGACTTGCTCACAAAGCACTTAATTATAGGGAACAGCTTGATTAAGTACTGAAATTGAGTTATAAAAGTGCAAAGGAAAATTAAATAAAAAATGTGGGGGAAAAGGGGGAGTTTGGTTTTCAGGAGATGATAAATCCTAGGGGAGTGACTAGGAAACACTAATGGAATATGAAAGTTGTTTCAATAAATTCTATTTATGCAAAAAAAAAAGTGCAAAGGATGCTCAGAGGGCATGTTTGATAGGCAGAGATGACAGTTGGGGAAGGAGACTGTTGCTTAGCCAGCCAGAGCTGCTGGAATAAGCATGGCAGTGGTAGCTGCTGTATTTTTCTCTCTTCTAAGGACAGATGTTGTCCAGTACAGGTACTTAGGAAAGAGAGTCGTGTCTTTGCTACAGGGTGATTTCTAGGCAGAAAGGGATGTCCTGGAAACTCAGACTGGAATGATAGATTGGGATGGGATCATAGAAGATGTTGAACGCTGTTCATTTGTTTTTGAAGTCATCATTAATAAAGTGTCAAAGGGTTTGAGCAGATGAATGACATTGTTAAATCCAAGATTGGGAGTCACTTATAAGACCTACCAGAGAGGAGCCAGCTTAGTTACTGGGAGATAATTTGACATGAAATGGCTATAATTTAGATGAAGCAAGCCTCTTTGTGTGGAGATCTGTCCACCTTTATCCTGTAAAAGCCAGAGGGAGACAAAAGAATGAAGGATTAAGAGCTAATTTGAAGGAGAGAGGGAGAACGGAAGAGGTGGTGGCAGGGGAAGCCCACAGAAGTTAACAGTAGGCTTGCCTCAGTCTAGAGAGGAAACAACCTGGTGCCCTCAGCTCTGTGGCTTCCTTCATCTCACAGCATCTCCTTCTCTGTGATAATAAGGTCAGGAAAGAGGGTGGCCAGAAGAGAACCAAGACTCAGCCACTCATGGGTGACAGAGGTACAAGGCCGGTTAAGTAAGTAGGCCATTTTTGAGGTATGCTTTGAGAGATAAGGCAAGATCCTCCACCTTAACCTCCAGAATTTCCCCTACTACTCAATACAGTTCCTGAACTATAGTTCCTATTGTTCTAATAGATCCTCAGAATACCAGAGTCGCAAGGCAGTTTGATATCATCTGACCTAATCCTCTTCCATTCTACATGTCGGCTGAGGCATAGCTTGTCCCCAAATCACATATTTCAGATAGAATTAGATCTACTTGTCGCAGGAACATTCTTCCTGGCAATCACTGTCTTTAAAAAACAATTTCCCAATAAGGATACATCGTTACGTAGAGTAGCTAGAAGACAGCTGAGAGTTGCAGGGAAAGCTGGGGTGGGTGAAGAGGGAAAGGGATTTTGTTTAAGGAGAGAAGGGCTGAGAGGTGAAACCAGGGGAGTGGGGAGGGCTCATCAAAGACACACCTTGCTGAGCTGAAGGTTTATCTTGAGCCTGATTGTGGATGAACATGAGTTCACTAAATTCCCTTTGGTTTTTCTGTGTTAGCGATGTACGTGGCCCAGCCTGCCGTGGTGCTGGCCAGCAGCCGGGGAGTTGCCAGCTTTGTGTGTGAGTTTGTATCATCAGGCAAAGCTGCTGAGGTCCGGGTGACAGTGCTGCGGCAGGCCAACAGCCAGATGACTGAAGTCTGTGCCACAACGTACATGGCGGAGAATGAATTGACCTTCACAGATGATTCCACCTGCACTGGCACCTCCAGTGGAAACAAAATGAACATCACCCTCCAAGGGCTGAGGGCTATGGACACGGGGCTCTACGTCTGCAAAGTGGAGCTCATGTACCCGCCACCATACTATGTGGGCATGGGCAATGGAACCCAGATTTATGTCATTGGTAAGCAAAACCATTTCATTACATTGACACCTTTTGCATTGCTGTCTTCTTTGTATGAATGCAGTTTGCTCCTTTATTTCAGGTGTTTTATTTTGAGAACTGTGGAAATTCTACAAGTTCTCTATCATATGGTTGTCTTGCTTATTTTAAGTGTTTACCTAAACAGTATTTTGACTATAAAATAAATAAGTTGAGGGAAGTGTTTTTTTTTTTTCTCCTGGTGGGTTGGGGCACTCGTTCTGGCATTGCAACCATCATAAGTCTGACCTCTTATCTTTGGTATGACATTTTGGGAAGTAGTCCCAAGTAGTTATTCTTACAGGCTACCAATACAATTTAATGGTGGACTTCAAAGTCTGGAAGCTTTAACTCTTTCCTGGTATCAATAACAGGGAGAGTAGAACCCTAAAGTTTAAACCTGTCTAAGGTTTTTCTGCCTTGTTTTCTGTTGCAGATCCAGAACCATGCCCTGATTCTGACTTCCTCCTCTGGATCCTTGCAGCAGTTAGTTCAGGGTTGTTTTTTTATAGCTTCCTCATCACAGCTGTTTCTTTGAGCAAAATGGTGAGTGTGATGCTGACAATGCAGCATACTTGATGGCGATGCCTTAGTGGTATCAACTGACCAAATGATAGTGTTGAGTTTAGTCTTCTGAGATGAAGCAATAAATGAAGAGGGTGAAAGAAGGACAATGGTAAAGAATACACGAGAACCCTAGGCATTGGTCTTTGAGGTTTCAGGATGACTAATGAGTGTGTTTGACATTGAATGTTTATGTGCTTCTGAACAGGGTTTCAGATTGAGTAACCATTTGAACAACATGGGCAGCTGTTTAGTTCCTTGTCTTCATGACAATCATACTTAAGCTAAAAACCTTGATGTACAAGCTTAAATTGGGTAAAATGGTGCTAAGAAGGACCACTTAGAGAGATTATAATATCTTCCTAAATATCCCTCTATCTCTCCTGGAAGTCATCTCTTAGTACCACCCTTGTGCCTTCTTCATTCAAGCTGTAGCTACTCCTGTTCCCACGATCTAGTTTTCTTGACTGGGATATCTTGCTCTCCTTTCCAACCCAGTGAATGAAAAGCTCAGTTTTTATTTACTATAGTTAGTGGTGAAAGAGGTGGAGGTATGGAAACAGGCCTCCTGTCAGAATTTCTTTTAGTCAGTCCCTCTTAGCCATCTCTGCCTAGAGCTGACTTTTCCTCTGCAAATTCACACTTTTCCCCTCCCCATCTCCTTCTTTTCCCCTCCTCTTTCTTTTCCTTCTTCCTCTTTCTTTCTCTCTCTTTCTCACACACACACATGAAGAGACACTATTCCAAGATCCTCTTCTCAACCTGACTATGATTTTACTTTTCTGTAGGTTCTTCCTACCTCATATGCTACAAACTACCACACAGACTAGGAGGTTAGACTAGTCTAACTTACTGAAGTGATAAAAGCTAGGAACTAATACAGACAGAGAGAAAAATAATAAAACATATACAAGGAGTAGAGATGAGAAAAACAGGTCTCAAACTAGATAATGAAAGTTTATTACCTTAGCTCATTTCCTCACAGACAAGAGCAGATCAATTAACATAGGTATTCTGTGTGTTCTGTAATACTTTCTCAAAGTCTCTTTCTCCTATCTTTCAGTCACAAAAAATGATTATTATTTTACATCAGAGCCACAGAGTTACTTATCTAAAGTGAATTTTAACAGCTGAATCAAGAAAACTGTAGTTTTGTTTGTTGGAATTTCGTATGTTGTGAACATTCATTTTCAGTGCGGTAGGGACTCAATATTTGTTGAGTCTTATAATAGTTAAAAGTGGCATCTGTATTCTTCGATAATTACTGTTTCTTTTTGTGTTTGGCAGCTAAAGAAAAGAAGCCCTCTTACAACAGGGGTCTATGTGAAAATGCCCCCAACAGAGCCAGAATGTGAAAAGCAATTTCAGCCTTATTTTATTCCCATCAATTGAGAGACAATTATGAAGAAGAAAGAATATATTCTGATATCTAAGAGCTGAGGCAATTTCATTTTGCTATCCAGCTATTTTTATTTGTGTGTATTCTGGGGGGGGGGAATTCATCTCTCTTTAATATAAAGCTGGATGCAGAGCCTACTTTAAGTGTACTACAATTTAAAGCAAAGGAACAGGAAAGCAGAGCTGGGATGTTTCTGTCACGTAGGATCCAATTTTAGTAAAAACATCACTAAGGAGCATTATGGGGATGCAGCATTATGATGTGGGGTCAAGGAAATAAGTTAGAGAATGGCATAGTCCCAAGAAAGGGAAGGAAGGAAGTGAGGGAGAAGACTATGTTGTACGCATCTTGTATTTCCATGTGAGGCATTTATAGCTAACGTGATGTTTTCTAGTTAGATTTTTATGAGATATTATTTTTCTTAACAAATGTATAATTACATGAAGACTTTAAAAATACTCACATGGCTATGTTTTAGCCAGTGATTCCAAAGGTTGTATTGTGTGTGTGTGTGTGTGTGTGTGTGTGTGTGTGTGTGTATACACACAGATATAAATAATTATTTGATAGTATTGTGCATGGGGGCCATGTGTACTTTTGTGTATTTGCTGGTGGTTTTAATATAAACACTATAAGGCAGTGTCTTCCCACCATGGGTTCCAGGGAAGTTTTGTGGAAGAGCTCAGGACACTAATACACCAGGTAGAATATAGGTCACTTGCTGGCTTGGAAACTGGAGGAGGTCATGGCTGTACTCAGCAGTGGTGAATTACACTGACTTGGTGTTGCAATGGGCTTTGGAACTTTTATGCCAGCTCCTTTCAATGGTTTACAAAGAACTCAGAGAACGCTGTTGTCAAGACAACGATACAGTCCAGGAAACCTGTAGGTCTGACCTTGTAGGAAGCTCCAGTTCCATGCAAACACATGATGAATGCCCAGGGCAGAAGAAAGTGGCAGGTGACAGAATGGGGTGCATTAAGGTTTCTGAAAACTAACACTGTTGGTGTTTTATAAACTCAATATTTTCCATGAAAATGCAACAACATGTATAATAATTTTAATTAAATAAAAATATGTGGTGGTCATTCTCTGGAGTTATCTTTATTATCCTTGGATTTTAATATTGTTTTTGAGTTTGCTTCCGATTGATTAATTCAGCAGTTGGTGGTCTCCATGGGTTCACACAGACTTAGTAGTCCTTGATAAACTACACAGCATGCTCTTTTTTTTTTTTTTTAGTGGTTTTTGCTATAGGGCGCGTGCGCTCGTCAGACAGACAGAGAGAAACAGAGAGACGGAAAGCAAGAAATCACCCCCCAGGGGGGATGGTCACAGTGCAATCCTCTCCTCCATTCTCCTCTCGGGATCTTGGGCACGCACGCACACGCGCCCGGCGTGAGATTTAAGCCACCGGGTCCAAGACGCGAACCGCGGTCGACTACGTGGGAGTCCAGCAACATAGCCCTTATGCTAACTGCTGGTCCCCTATTTCATGCGCCCAGCGTAAGTTTTAAGCCACCAGGTCTGGGACACGACCTGCGGTTGACTACGTGGGAGTCCAGCAACATAGCCCTTATGCTAACTGCTGGTCCCCTATTTCATGCGCCCAGCGTAAGTTTTAAGCCACCAGGTCTGGGACACGACCTGCGGTTGACTACGTGGGAGTCCAGCAACATAGCCCTTATGCTAACTGCTGGTCCCCTATTTCATGCGCCCAGCGTAAGTTTTAAGCCACCAGGTCTGGGACACGACCTGCGGTTGACTACGTGGGAGTCCAGCAACATAGCCCTTATGCTAACTGCTGGTCCCCTATTTCATGCGCCCAGCGTAAGTTTTAAGCCACCAGGTCTGGGACACGACCTGCGGTTGACTACGTGGGAGTCCAGCAACATAGCCCTTATGCTAACTGCTGGTCCCCTATTTCATGCGCCCAGCGTAAGTTTTAAGCCACCAGGTCTGGGACACGACCTGCGGTTGACTACGTGGGAGTCCAGCAACATAGCCCTTATGCTAACTGCTGGTCCCCTATTTCATGCGCCCAGCGTAAGTTTTAAGCCACCAGGTCTGGGACACGACCTGCGGTTGACTACGTGGGAGTCCAGCAACATAGCCATTATGCTAACTGCTGGTCCCCACAGCATGCTCTTTAACATAGGTTCTTTACCTACTCTTACTCATGACTTTCTCAGGTCAACTCGCATAGCTGCCACGATAATTCCAATGTTGTCAAATGCACCTCCTACAGCCATTTTGATCTGCCTTTGTTGCAAATGGAGCTTTTCCTTGTGACTTCCAAATGGACTATTTTTATATCTGTAAGTCTGTGTTGCTATCACTGGAGGACCTGGACCTGACCCACTGAGCCCTCTGTGGTTCTTGGTTAACCAATATGTAGCCTTAGTGTGCTTGGTTTCCACTTTAGGTTTCTTATTCTTGACCTCCACATCCTGTAAGTGTCTTGTGCAATGAGCCTTAGTGTTGTCAGAGACCACTGGGTCACTTACTGAAAACTCTGATTCAAGTGCTTACCCTCAGATACTCTAAGTCAGAATCTTTATGTAGCAGGGCCAGGCATTGGCACTTGCAAGAATCTCCCCAGTGCTTCTTACATTCTCAAATTTTGAGAGTCATGCATAGGCAGCTCTGTTTCCCCTCTTGTACTGTCTCTCTCCTTGCTTTCTTTCTCACTTATACTTAGTCTCTCTCTCTGTTTTTCCTCAGCAAGTGGTAATATACAAATGAGAGAACACACAGTAAGCATTCCATAATGGTTTGTTAGATTAAAAATAAATAGATCTTTCAAAGCAGGATAATGGTTATTTCCTAGAATGAGATTCTACTGTATGAAAGACTGTGCTTCTTGCTCTCTTACCCTTTGATTGGTAGCCATGAAGAAACAGGATGCCCAGTATGATACCACACCATTTCTATTTCTCCAAGTGTATTCAGAGAGATCACTCTTTTCCATAGTTGATAGCAGACCTAATGACAAGAAGGATCTTAGACAAGAGTCCTCTCAGGTACCTTTCAGGCACTATTAGATAATGGACTACTTTGCATAAGTTTAATATCTACTCTATGGTTGCTAAAATTCTACCATTGTCTCTTCATTAAGTTAAGACTCCCTGAGTCTTAACCTTGTAAAAATAAAATACTTCTTATCTAACAAAACAACAAACAAACAAAAAACATTGTTCCTATGGCACAAGGTTTGGACAAGAAAGACTATCTTTTTTTTTTTTTTGGAGAGGTTTTCGCTATAGGGCGCGTGCGCTTGCCAGACAGACAGAGAGAGACATAGAGACAGAAAGTGAGAAATCACCCCCCAGGGGGGATGGTCACGCCGCAGTCCCTTCTCCTCCATTCTCCTCTCGGGATCTTGGGCACGCACGCACACGCGCCCGGCGTGAGATTTAAGCCACCGGGTCCAAGACGCGAACCGCGGTCGACTACGTGGGAGTCCAGCGACATAGCCATTACGCTAACTGCTGGTTCCCAAGAAAGACTATCTTGAGGTTCCTTTGAAAGGGGAGAAAACAAATGGGGAATACTTTGGGGCACCAAACTAAAACCTCTTTTAATCCCTATTTTGTTTACGAGGATAAGTCCTTTGCCTACACTATTTAGAGAGGTGCATTACCCCCAAATCAGAGCAACAACTGTCTCATGACATTCCAGCCTTCATCACCATCTCCAATTCTGGCATCAGGGACCTGGAGAAGCTCAAAGACTTCATGCATCTGAATGAAAGTTTGGTCTACCAAGGGAGCCTGGGCACTGTAACCCTCCTCTCTGGAACTTACTCTTCCCAGGCAGGAATGTGAATGACAAGGAAGCTGGATAGAGCTAGCTGGGGGCTGCTGTCAGTTCCTCCTCCTACAAACCCTTCTGTACCTACCTCTACTTATCTCTCTTCTCCTAACCTGGTATCATCATTTTTGCTACTTCTTGTCTTCCAGTTCTCACTTTCAAATATCTTAATACCTTATTCTCACATTCATGAAGAGTAACCTCAAATTTTGCCTCTACCACAGACTTGTTGATACTTTAAGCCCATATGGATTTCTCCCCTTCTGTTTCACAGCTATCTCTGGTATTAGGTTATCAAGAAAGTCATGATGTATTTCCCAATGACCCGATATTATCTCTAACAATTTCAAATATGAATGTCTTTTCTCCATAGTTTGGGAACTTCTCCAAGACAGGGATTGTCACAACTAAGGCATAGAATAGATACTTAGATAAATGGATTAAAGAGCTAAGACACTCAAGACCCTGAGAAGGACAACTGTCCTTTGTGTAGTACCCATCCATGTTTTCTTAGATGGAATCAGTCTAATCTCTTCCATTTAATCAGCAGAGGTAGGTGTAGGTTGATTCATCTCTTGGCTAAGCCTTTAACTTAGATGTGAGTCCCAGCTATCTACCTTGCTCTACACATTCCACTTATCTCAAGTCAGTCTTATTTCCAATTTTTTTTTCAAATTCTCATTTTTATCCTTTCTCTGTTGAACTGTGGTTCATTGTTAAACTATGATTTTATACCCATTCTGAACCTACTTTCATATCCACAGTTGACACACATTTAATTTAACTTAGTTGAACTTGCCAAATGTTGACATCACTGTGTTGTTAACTGGAGCTAAGCCAATTAGGCAGTTCAAGAATTCATAAATTTAAGTTATTGCTTTGGGAGGTCTCAAAGCAAAAGAGAAAATGGCTTTTTCTAGAGAGTTATTCTTGTTGCTTTTCTTCTTTTTTGCACCTCGTTGGAGCCATGACTCAAACTCCTTAGAGACCTTTTATTTCATGCCTTCCCCCACCCCTCTATTCAGCCCTGAAATATGACATACCCTATGGATGAAAAGAGATGCACAGATAATTCTTTCCTCTTTTTTATCTCCTAGGCCACAGGCTGGGGTAGGGCTGAGTAGGTATTTCGTCAGATTTAGCAAACAAGTGCCTAAGAACCAGAACAACAAGAATATCTAAGACAAAACAAACCAGATACTAGGATGCTCTGTATTTGATCTGACAACACTATCAGCATGGAAGTTTATATTTGTAATCTTGTAATACAGTGTGAATAAAAAGTGTGTCGAAGATCCTTCTGCAGAAGTTTCTGGATAAAAAACCTAGGGCAGTGATGGTGGTTCCAGTTCTAACACAATCTCCTGTGCCTACTCCTGGGCATACTTGGGACTGTTAATGAGGATTAACAGGTCCTGAAGAGAAAGCATCTATTTATCTTCTGAATAACTTTTAAAGTTAACCCAGTCTGGGGGCCATCAAGTGGCATGGTTGTTAAGGTGCTGGACTCCCACACGAATGACTGTGGTTCAAGTCCTGGATCTGGCAGCTTGAAAATCACACTGGGTGCATGTGTGTGCATGCCCAAAATCCTGAGAAAAAAATAGAGGAGAGGGATTGCAGAGTGGACATGCCCTCTGGAATATGATTTCTCACTTTCTCTCTCTCTCTTACTCTCTGGTGAGTGCACATGCACTATGGCAAAAGAAAAAAAAAGTTAACCCAGTTTGGTGTATATGGCAATAGGTCTGACATTCATGCTCTTCTTGGAAATCTTTGCTTTCATGAGTGCACTTAATTTATTGGGTCGTCGGAAAAATCATGACGTATTTTTCTGTTTTTCTATGCAAAAATGCATCATGATTTTTTCCGAAGACCCAATCATTGTTCTTACTTTTATCATGCACAGAGTTTTTCTGGAACATTTGAAAAAAATGCATATTAAGGTGACTCAGACTCAGAGTGTCTCATTTATAAAATCTGAGGCAGGGCCTGGAGATTTTAGTTCTTCAGAAAGTCTTTGGTCCATACTTTCAGAAGTCTTGGTCTAACTTGAGATCCTCCCATCATAGATGATTAAGACCAGAGAAGAAACCTTAGAAATTATCTTCATATTTTAGAAGGAATTAGGGCTCTGAGACATTCAGAAACTCATCTAAGGCAGAGTGAGGCAGTATTTGAGTCAAGCTGAGAAGTCACATCTCCAGATTTTCACAACATGGCTC